ATAGAGCCAGGGGTTTGCAAATTCTGAGCCTCCTGTTGGTGTCAAGGAATCAAAATAGGTAAAGTTAATGTCATGGCAGCGTCTTCGCACACAGCTCTAAATCTCACTCACTGATCAGTGAGGAGTCCCAGGGGCACTGCATGGGGACCTGTGAACACTTGGAGAAACACTGGTCTATGGGTTTGTGATGCTAAAGGGGTGAAGTTAAAGCACATAACGGACGGCACCTTCAGGCTCAGTTTTCACTACTCAGTTTCAATCTGGGGTTGGTTTCAAACAATAAATAGGCTGAAAGGCTGAGAGCTGACTGGCTTCCATGGTATCAGTGTGTTCATGGCGAGAAATTGCCGGATACGCAAGGGCTCTTCGGTCTAGTGCAGCCCTGAGCAAAATACAGCCCATGGGCCGGATACAGGTCGCCAGGCCATTTGATCCAGCCAACTGATGCTTGGAGAGCAATGGGCTACTTCTGTACTTGCCACTTCCCACCTGCAAGCCACTCAGAAAGTGAGAGTGACCTGGAGGTTAAGGGGAAAGGCTTCAGGCACTGCTTCCACCTCCAGGACAATCTCATTGGCTGGTTTCTGGCCAGAAAGGAAGCACCGTGCCCTCTCCCCTCCAGCTCATAGGTATTCTCACACACATGGCCCCGCAGCTTGTGCAAGGGTTGGACAGGCTCCTTACCTGCCTCGGAGAGGTGCTTGGCTGCTGGCCGGGAGGCACTCAGGTAAGTCTCCTGGCCAAAGCTTGCCTCTGGCACCCCAACCTCTCCCTTCCCCTCCTAATTCTCTGCCCCCCACTCCTGCCTCCCGCTCCACATATCCACACTCTCTCTTCCTGCATCCACGTATGCAAGAATCTCTTCATGGTCAGAAACCCTCACCCTTATTTGTCCACTCAGCCACTTTTCTAAATTAACTTTACTTTAAATATTTCATGAGTAGTTGGCTAATCCAGTGCCCCAGATCACATCTGCTTCCTTCACCCAAACTCCTTCCCAGACCCCTTTTTCCCTCCTGCATTCCAAAGCCTCTCTCAAAGCTCCCTTCTTCTCCCAGTGTCCATCTCATACGCTGTATTTCCTGGTTAATGTCTTGGAAGAGTGCAGCTCTCAACCACTTTCCAAAATCTTGGAGTCTCTCCCCTCCCCCCCATCAAATGAATTGCCCACCCCTGGTCTAGTGGATACAGTTCAGTGAGAGTTAATAACTGAAAGCTGCAGCTGGACAATTTCAGGCTAGAGAGGAGGCACAAATGTTTGATGGGTAAGAGAATTAGCTGCTGAAACAAATGAGCAAAGAACTGATGGGTTCTCCATCTCTTGATGTCTTCATATCAACACTGGACGACTTTCTAGAAAATATGCTGTGGGGAAACAGAACTTTGTGCCTAAGTAGCTCGGATAGGTGTAATGGCTTATGCCACAGAGGGGACAGACTGCATGGCTAAGGATATTTTGTGATGCCATGAATCCATTAATTTTAAGGTCTTATCCTGAAAACATTCAGCACACGTGTTTAATAATATGTATATGAATACTCATATTAACTTCACTTCCTCTCTGTTATGGAAGTCTGTGTCAGAGGAGAGAACCAAAGTTTGGGCTGCAAATCAATGCATGAAGACTAAGGATTATAAATATTGCAGCCCAAATTAAATTAAACCTATGTCCATGTTCAGGCAGATGAATATGTGGCTTGTTAGCAGAAACAACTGGATGCTGAAAACTGAATCCCATTGTTGCAGGCAAACTAATGTAACTCAAGCCAGGTATTGAGAGAAATAAATACGGCCTTTGGATCTAACTTGTGTGTGGTGTTTATGGAATATCTAGACTCAGCGTAGAGTCCAGCATGTTTTTCACCAAGGACAGAGTCTGGGCAGAATTGGGGTGTGGAAAGGATTAAAGCTCTTTTTGAAATGTCTCCAATTCCCCTTCTCCTTCTGACTGCAGAACACCCATGTCTGACTCCAGCTCAGCGCCTGGCCTGCAGAGCCAGGGACAGGAAATGGCTGTGGCGAAGCCAGTGAGCTTCGAGGAGGTGGCTGTGTATTTCTCTGAAGAGGAATGGGCTCTACTGGACCTGGGCCAGAGAGCCCTCTACAGGGATGTGATGCAGGAGAATTACGAGGCTGTGTGCTGGCTGGGTGAGGATTCCTGTCCCCTTGTGTAACAGAAGCTGGGTGGGCTCTGGAGCAGCTGGGTTGGGTTTGGTTCGGTTCAGGGTCCCTCATTGCCCGAACCCCCAATATCAGCAGTATGTGCCCCAGTAATCCTGGCTCCTGTGTGAGAGGAGGTTCAGTGACATAATACTGGTGCTTCTCTTCCCACAGCCAAGGTCTCGTGGTTCCCACCTTCTTGCCCATGTTGTGCCTTGGCCGGAGGCATCAGTGGAAGGGCCCAGGCAGGAACAAAGGTACCAGAGTAGTGGAGCTGGGTGCAGCTCTTCTTAGCATCTGCAGAGTCCCCTTGTGCTATTGTGCTGAGCCCCTGGAAGGAAGGCACCAACTCAGAGTCCTTCCCTGCTTCTGGTAGATTCTGTGCAAGCCAGAGGGGCACCAAACGGCAGGCCCGACTGGCCACAAGAGGAGGGCTGCTGCTGCTGGCAGAGTAGATCTAAGGCTGCAGAAGGAGAGCTGAGCTGCAGGAGCATCTAAGAGCAGCAGAGAAGCAGCACAGCCACCTTGGCTGGCCACAGGAACATCCCGGCACTGCCCTGGCTGTCTGC